TAAAAACCAATTGCACATAGTATTTTAACATTTGAATACTTAGGTAGTCTACTAACCGTGTTTGGCTAAGCTAAAAAAATTCTTCTTGATGAAAAATTCTCTTTAATCAGCATTTCCTTCGTTTCAATTCCCATACCTGATTTCAATTAGGGCTCCCCTCTACGCACAAATGGCGGATTCGCTCGGAGGGGATGCTACAGGAGTAGCTTTTGATCTTCTAATGAAAACCGTATTAGACGTAGCCTTGAGAGTAGCCCGTTTCAGGTCCGAACTCAACCACTTGATATCAACTCTGATTTCAATCAAGCCATTTGTCAAGAACATTGAGAAGCTGAATGGATTGTTGGACAACCGACGAGAAGGAGCAGAGATGCTCAATAAGCTGTTTAAACAGGGCGAAGTGCTCATTCACGAGTGCTTGAAAATCGAGCAGTGGAGGCTAGACAAGAAGTATTCGTACGCGAAGAAACTGGAAGAATTTGAAAGCTCGTTGTCGTGGTTTTTAAAGATAAATGTGCAGGCTGAGTTGGCTAGAGATTTCAAAAGTGTTGCCGTGGCAGTAAATGTTCTTCAGGAGAAAATGGATAAAATAATTTCTGTCCAAGATAATGATCGCAATGTTAACTCATATGGGTTTGCAGGTACTATTCTCCCCTCCTAAATTGTACTTATTTCGTGAATATGAACGAAAAATTCACTTGCATGGTGGTTTGATCAACAAAAAAAAAATGGGTTTTTAGGTTGGTGTGGTGTTCCGGGAGTTACGGGATTTGTGGTTGGATTAGACGTGCAGCTTCAGGAACTGAAGGCGATGCTGCTAAAGGATGGAGTGCCAATTGTTGTGCTTTCGGCTCCTGGTGGCTGCGGAAAGACTACACTGGCGAAATTGCTCTGTAATGATGATGAAATTAAAGGTAATCAGTGAGTTTAATATCAAGGATCCTTGATTTTTGTTATTTTTCCTTTTCAATAATGGCATTTTTTTCTAATTCTTGCAATCTGCTTAATGGAAAAGAGTGATTCTTGTGATTCTTTGTTTCATCTATCTCTATCGAACTTGATGTAGGATATTATGAAACAGTTTTAGGAGAAGTGAAAAGGGAAAAGAAAGAAGAGAAAAGAGAGGCAAAGAGGGAAGAAGAATATTAATTTATTTCATTATCAAAATTTATTCGAATTATATTGCCCTTTATATAGGTTTAAACTATACTTAATTAAAGTAGAAAAATACTGCAAAATTAAACATTAATCGTGTTTCCTAAATAAGCTTCAAAATTGGAAACTAAATTAAATAATATATCTTCAAATATTCTATCGATACATCTTTTAATATTCCAATCATTTCTCATCGGCTGCGAGAACTCGACTCTAACGACACAAATTGCAACTTCTTATCCAAGGAGGGCGATCTTTCTATTTGACCAAATAATAAAACCAACTATATGAAGACAACTGAATCTGAAAGCATTTGATCTGACCAAGGGGAGACAGTATTCCTTTTAGCCAAATAGCAGTGAAGAACCCCTGTGAGTAACAACATGAACAACTCATTCACAAGAACAACTTTGGAATCCAAATGAGTACAATGCACTAGAATAGTAAGCTGACTTGTAGAAACAAATGATTGCAACATGGCTCGAATCTTCATGAAAGCTTATGTGCCTAAATTGTGCGTCAAATGCAAGCTCATAAGATTCATGCCTAAAAATAATTTCTCTTCGAAACTCTGTATGAAAATCAATAAAGGACGAAGCCAAAACAGTATGACGGTTCTTAGTAGGTAACAATTGAATCACGATAAGAATAGTGTGTAAACGAATAACGACCTAAAAAATGTGGCAACCAGAGAAGTATCACACAGTAGAAGTAAAAGCATATCAAATTCAACGTTAGGGTAACACAAAGGAGTAGGAAAGCACTACTTCGACATGAGATCTTGGACATAAACATAAGTCCCCATCCTTGCCATCAGAATGCTCAATTAACTCAACAATATAAACATCATTATCTTCCACAAAAGTAATACAAGTAGACTCAAGAGGTGACTGTCAGGATTGAGGCCTAACTTATGACATGCTTGACGAAGATGCAAGGATGTGTTCCATATATTGGCCTATTGATAAGTTTTATATAAGGATTGGGGTACGAGAATGTCGTGACGAATGATTTCAAGATTCAAATCATTGAAAAACCTAAAAGCTGTAATTTGGGGAGTTTTATAAATATCATAACTATGCAATAGCTTTTCGAATTGGGTTAGATATTCCCTAACAGTGGACATACATTGCCAGTAGGACAAACAACTAAATTGATCTAACATTTTGAATTTTATAATATACATGGACGTATTCATTACTTAGGTTGTTTGATGCACATTTTTTAGGAGAGAATGCTTTTTTTTTGTAATGTGATGTGAATATGTGGTCGAAAAAGAAGGAAAAGTTATTAATGTGATGAAAAATATTATTTTATTAAAGAATGTTGGGTTGAAAATGAGTAAAAGGATCAGAATGAAAGTTATAATGTGGCTCAAACATGGGCTTAATACTCGTTTCATTTCATCCCACAAAGTGACAGAGTGCTAACCTAGGAGATCAATCATCAATGTCATGGAGAAAAAGGAATTTCAATAACAATTAGCAAATGTAATATTAACTGACAAAGACAACATGAGTCACTCAAATTGTGAAAGTCAAAGAATTGTTCAAGAGTATTGAGCCAATCAAGAGTAATTCGGATCCAGCGCGACCATCAAAATTCCATATTTGGAAGGTAACTTGCATATAATGAGAATGTACGTCCTTGAAAAAGGTCATATATGAAGGATGACCATGTTGATAAGTGAAATGAGGAAGATACACGACCGTGATAGTGACCGAAGGACGTGACATAGGCGTACGAGTTGTTATATGCATTGTAATTGCTATGATATGATATTTTTTAGGATCATGCTACATATATCGAATTTTTTTACATAATCTCTTACCGACTACTCACAATAGGGGGGTGAGGACCACATTTTGAGATTTCTTTTATTCACGCAGGGCCCTTGTGCATGTGAGAGGGGGTAAACAATTCGGTAAGAGGTATTATGTACAAATAGATTTATCACATTTTTTATGTATTTTTTTATATATAAGGTTTGATGGACCACCATCACCTAAATAGAAAGTAAATTTTCAAAAAATGTAGAATTGATATTCCTCACGAGATGCAAACGAGCCAAACTGTACCAAAGCCACCAATTTCAACCTGCCACAGTGAAAGAGTTTGAACTCCTAAATAGACACGGGTTAGGGCATGCTTTGGGAGTTTTTTTCCCATCGAGATTAAGGGTTGAAGAAATTGGTACTTTTTTTTCGCCCATCGATTTTGGATGATTTCCAAAATTGATTTAGTATAACTTTGAACGGTTCTCTCAACCCTTCAAATTGACGATGTTTACCATTTTTCATATTCTTTCTAATTTTACCTTTTATAAATTGACTATTTTCCACCAACATATTTTGTTCAAAACTAACTTATAAATAAAAATTTATTAATAAGCATAAAAATTACACATTAATTTTAAAAAATCATTTATAAAGTAAAAATAGTACTAATAAGATAAAAATTCACTTACAAAATATAAAAGTTAATTATATATATATATGCCTAAAAATTATTTAAAAATACAAATTAACTTATAATTATAAAATTTACTACTGAGTTAAAAAAATTTTAGGCTTAAAAAATTTTAAATAAGTTTTTAAATTAAATATTAACTTAT